TGAGGAACAGACATGACCCATCAACGGACCAATGGGACACCAGGTGGGGGGATATAAGGGAGCCCCATATCCACAATAAAGGAGTCTGCAGCTGCTTGCACTGCCTGTTTCTTACCCGACTCCCAGAGTCTGCGTCGTGACTCCGTGCCAACTCTACTCCCACCTGGAGGGCTGCAGGACACCAGCAACATTGGACAGAGACACATAAAGGACAGTTTTTGCTCCTTTCCCTCCTAGGTTGACCAAGTTCTAAGGAAGTATGAGCATCTCTGAAAATGTCTTGTAACTGTGGTGAGTCACCTGTCCTCTTGATCAAGGAGGCCATGGAGACCCCACCAGATGGACCTGAACTAGTTTCCAGTCTACAAAGAGGAGGGTCAATACAGAGGAAACATTTTCTCCATGCTTCCAAGAGAAGCCAACCATGGTCGAGCAGGACCTTAGACTTATCTTCACATAGACAGAACTGGTAAAAGAAAGGAGCAGGGGCTCCTCGCAAGCCCATGTGACCCCTGTGGAACAGATCCTCAAACGAACTTAAGAGTAAAAATAAATTGGTTTATCTGGGCCAACTGCAGGGTCTTAGACACCCAAAAGGAAAGTAAAACCAAAGATTAATGGGATCAGTATAATTTTTTAAGAGTCCATACGTATAGCTAAAGATGAGACAGGAGATACCTTCCTTTGAGTTATTGGCCAGGGTGGCCCAAAAGACTCCCAGATAGTAACCCAGTATAAAACTGGGAAAATGAACAGCAGACCCCAATCTTATCTAAAGGAATATTGACAACTGATTGCTGCTAGATAAGGAACGGCTGATCTTCCTAATACAAGGATCTCTGGATAGGCTGACTAGATTCAGCAGGCAGACAACCACTGGGGAATGGCTGGGGTGCCGACAACACAGTGGACAGTAACAGAGCATACAGGCTCCAGTGTGTGGGAGGGGGGAGGCTATGGGAGGGTGCCATTCGGGATGTGGGTATAAGATGAATAAGATTGTGTGAGATGTTCTGTATGATACACACACACACACACACACACACACACACACACACACAAAATCAACAAATTAAAAAAAAGACCTATTTGAGGAGGAAGCATAAAAATTTATTTCATGTTAATTAGCAGAGGTGATAAACATTACCACTGAAATCTACCTGATGATTTTATATCTATACTCAGGTACTAAGGATCCGAGTGTAACTGACTGTGACTAGTAATAAACAGATACATAGAGATTAAAGACACATCTAACTGTTAGTAGCATTAAAAATGTAGGAAACAGCACATTTTAAAATGAAATGGAGATCTTCTTTACAGGGTAAAAACTCATTCAATTTTATGTCTTATAGGGTTTATACTGAGCTCAATATTGTATAACTGTATTAATTCAATTGTGAACCTAAAATTTACAGCCACTTTTGAAGAGATGTATCCTTGCTCTGGAAATTGTTATTGTCCTACTTTGTTTCTCCATTGCTGTGACAAAATACTCTGACCAATGCCAACTCGGGGAGGAGAGGGTGTATTTAGCTTACATCTCCCAGGTCACAGTTCATCAGGGAGCCCAAGGTAGGAACTCAGGGCAGGAATCTGGAGGCAGGAGCTGGAGGACAGGCCATGGAGGAACACTGCTTACTGGCTTGCTCCCCTGGCCCCTGCTCAGCCTGCTTTCTTATGCAACACAGGCCTACCTTTCAGGGGAGGCACCACCCACATCACTCAACAATTAAGAAGATGCCCCATGGATATGGCCACAGGCCAATCCAATGAAGGAAATTCCCCAATTGAGGCTCCCTCAACCCAGGTAAGTCAGGTTGACACTAAAGCTATCTAGCACAGTTACTGAGTATGTTAAAGCTGTAATGAAATGCTTCTTCTAAAAAAAATAAATAATAAAAAAAAAAGAGAAAGCCTAAGCAAGTGATGAAGGTATGTTTAGGTTTGTTATATATAATGGATGAGATAAAAATAATATATACATGATCTTAAAATTTTTATGGTCATAGTTTAGTCAACTACTGTAAGGAACAAAATATAAATTTAGTCAACGCTTATCTGAAAATATTTGGTTCTTTACCTAAAGCTTATATACACAGCACATGACAATTAAATGTATCAGACTGGTGGAACTAACCTAATTGGATGTTTAACAGCCATACTTTAAGGCCTATACTAATGTGGTCAGAGGGACTTAAAGGACAGTTTTTGCCCCTTGGCTTCCAAGGTTGACCAAGTTCCAGGGGACTATGGAACATCTCTCAAAATGTCCTGTAAATGTGGTGAGCCACCTGTCCTTTTGTTTGGGGAGATCATGGAGACCCCACAAGATGGACTTGAAACAGTGTCCAGTCTATAAAGAGGAGGGTCAACTCAGAGGAAACATCTCATTCATGCTTTCAAGTGAAGCCAGACATGGTCGAGCAGGACCTTTGGCCTATCTTCACATAGATGGAATTGGTAAAAGAAAGGAGCCAGGAGCTCCTCCCAAGCCTATGTGACTCCTGAGGAACAGATCCTCAAATTACCTTAAGTGTAAAAATAAATTGATTTATCTGGGCCAACTGTGTGGTCTTAAACACCGAAAAGAAAAGTATAACCAAAGAGTAAAGTCATCAGTATAGTTCAAGAGTTCTAGGGGTTACACTTCCCAGACATTAGGCTTAAGTCTATACAAAAAGTTATTTAGACAATTATTTCTCATTGATGATTTTTTTTCCTAACCAGAAAGTGCTGTTCAGATGTAAGACTTCAAATCTTGGTCTCCAATACTGTAGTGCCAACCTGTAGCTAAGGGAGACAACCAGCTATTATTCTAAAATGGTGGATAAATTTCTTTCTCCCCCTATCTAGAAGCCTTTGAGAGGGAACTGACACTGATTCTAACCACTCCAACAGCTATCAAAATACCTGAAAGCAAATCCTGAATCCATCACTCTAGAGTCCAGCCTTGGAAGAGAAAGAAAAATGAGGATGAACCCAATAGAGGGATGCTTTTGGAAGCCCTTGTCAAGAAATTCCAATGGGCTCTCATGAATATGTGAAAACTGCCCTGTTCTGACTTTTTTCTTGTTCCCTGTCTAGAACTTGTAATGCTAATTACTCTTGCCTTTACTTCTCCTTCACATCTCCTATTCACGATTCATGGACTTTCTTTTCCCCTTAGAGATAAGAATTATGCAATTTGGGAGTATTTTAGATAGACACACTCAAGGGGTACTCCAATTGCCTCACCCTGTGTCCCTATTGAGCAGAGAAGCTAGAGTGGTCTACATCCCTATTTCTTATTGGCAATTTTGTAACCCCTTCAGAGGATGACATGATAAGAATAGGAGGTAGGCATTGGCCAGGCAGTTAGGGCTAAAAGACCCCAAAGAAATTAGCCAGTTTCTGGGCTAAAAATCAAAATGTCGTTGGGCCTGTTAGCAACACACTCTGTTCCAAAAGCAAAAAATGTCAAAAAGTCAAAAGTATGATGGAAAATAAATAAATAAAGTAATAAATACGGGGTTGGGGATTTAGCTCAGTGGTAGAGCGCTTGCCTAGCAAGGGCAAGACCTAAAAATAAATAAATGAAAGAAGAAAAAAAAAAGAAAAGAAAAAGAAAAAGTGATGGGGAGATGTGGGAGGTTATGGAAGGGAGGGAGTAGGCATGGATTTGATCAAAACACCTTATATTCATGTATGAAATTCTTAATAAAGTTTTTGTAAAAGTTAAAAAAATATATATATTAAAAAAAAAGAAGTTTCTCCAAAATAAGCAATCAGGTGAAATCCAGTCCTCAGATTGGGAGAAATCTTTGCTTACTACATAACTAGCAGAGGATTAAAATTCAGAATATATAAAAGAACTTGGAAAAAAAAGTTAATGAAGTAACAAAACATATCATCAAACCAGTAAGTTGGCTAATTAAGTAAACAGTTCACAGAATCAATACAAATGGGTAATATATTTGTGAACAAGTGTTCAACATCTGTAGCCAATCAGGGTGATAAAAATTAAAATTAATTTTATTCATTTTACCCCAAGAAAACAAACACTACAAGCTGGCAAGGATGTGGGAAAGAGGGAACCCATATTTACTGCTTGTAGGAATGCAAGCTTGTGTAGCCACTACGGAAATCAGTATGGTAGTCTCTTAATAAATCAAAAATAGAATTACCATTTGACCTAGCTATTCCACTACTGGAGATTACACACACACACACATGCACACACACACACACACACACACACACACACACACACACACACCCTCTCAAATCAACATACCACAGAGATACTAACACATTCATACTTTTTGCTTCATTACTCATTAGTCACAATAGCTAGGAAGTAGAATCAGTCTCGTTGTTCACCAAGAGATAAATGAATAAAAAGATGTGGTACATAAACACAATGGAATTTTATTCAGTCATAAAGAAAAACGAAATCATGATAGCTTCAAGAAAATGTATGCAACTGAAAATCACAGTGACAATAAGCCAGATTCAGAATGACAGACACCACACGGTTTCTCATAATGCAGAAAGTGATTTAAAGTTATTTATCTGTGTACGTATGTCTACGGTGTATGGTTTTGTGTGTGTGTGTGTGTGTGTGTGTCTGTGTGTGTGTGTTTGAAGATCCTAAAAGGGATAAGAAGAGATCTTAAGAGAGGGAAAATAGAGAGAGTAATGGGATACACATAATACGAAAGCAGAAGGGGGACTATTTGTGAGGTAGAAAGGGAATAAACCAGTGTACAGAGGAAACAGAGAAAAAGGTAGCATGGGAAGGTAACAAATAAGAAGAAAGCATTATGACTCAGGTGTGAAAAAGACATCACTAAAATCACTATTTTGTATGTAAACTTAAAAATTAATAAAAATAGAAAATATAATAAAATATATTTGGTTGCTTTAGTATACGTACTACAAAATGGCAAATAATAAATAAAAATTATGTGAATTCTGAAAATGTAATCATAGGAAATCCAAAAGAAAGGAAAACTTACTTAATTTCAAGTTGTTTTATTCTGTTTTCTGCACTCTTCAGTCTTAGCTGAAGATCATCTTTGGAAAGCTCTGCTGCAAGACATCTTTGGTGCATTTCTTCAAATTTTCTGTAATCACCTTCATCCTGTTTGCCTTCCCGGTAAATCTGAGGAAGAGGCTTATACAAATTACCTTAGAATAAGAAATACTCTCAATAAATTACACAGTTTAGAAATAAAATCGTTATTATTTGCTCATCTGATCCCACTGTAAAATATTAAAATACATCACTATTTTATAAAACAGACAGCTTTTAAAAATTACTCTTTAAATAATTCATGCTCACAGTAAACTATTCAACTAATACAGAAATCTAAAACAGCTGCTGAAGCTTTAAAAAATGATTTAAATGCCAATTTAAAGACAATCACTGGTAGTGTCAGGTATGAAGCTCAGTGGTAGATCTCTTGCTGAGCATATGTGTAAGGCCTTGGGTTTGACCCTATAACTGCAAGAAATAAAAACAAATGAACAAAAAGGTGACTTCTGGTAATTCTTCAGTAAACATCTTCTTTTAAAAATTTTTTAAAATTTATTATTTTTATTTTTTATGTGTATGAGTGTATTGCCTGCATGTATATGACTGCACCCGTGTCATGCAATGCCATGGAGGTCAGAAGAGGGCTCTGGATTCCCCTGGAACTGGAGTTAAGGATGGTTCACAGCTGCCATGTGGGTGATGGGAATCGAACCTGGGTCCTCTGCAAGAGCAGTCAGTGCCCTTAACTGCTGAGCCATCTCTCCAGCTCCAGTGAGCATCTTTTAAGGCAATTTTCTTTGACATATGCAAAATTAATGATGGATGTTCTAGTTTTAGTTTGAAAGTAAGTCTAGAATTCTATTCTGAGCTACCTGGGCAATAATAACAGCAAGAATGGGAGTTCCCTCTTTCTCAGCAGTTCCTATACCTGCGCTTCCTCAGTACAGGCCCTTATAAGGTACAGCATCCTTGTCAATAAATATCTAGCAGGCCCTGAGGTCTCCAGGTGCTAGGCAGCTCATATTTTCTGCCATATCATACAAAAAACTACCCTCTAAATCAAGATGGCCCTGTCAAGCCACATATTTATCTGCACTGATAAGACTGTTACTCCTCTGCTCTACAAAGGCAGAGAAGAAGCACAAGTGTTTCCTGCTAGAACACAGAGCTTTACTGTAGTCCTACAGTACTATGACCTTGGCATGTTGGGATGTGGACAATAGGTTGCTGTGCCTTGTAGGTTTTCCATTTCTCCAATATTGCCTATTCTTTAACCTATGCCATGTAATGTTAAAAAATTTACCCCAAATGCTGATATAGCTGGTTGCATTCTATGTAGAACTTATCTAGCATGATACAAAGGAAACCCAGAAAGATCTACCCTTCCAGGAGAATGGCAACCATAAAGGTTCTAACTTTGAACATGTGTTTGTGTTCAGTGGCCCAAAAGGGGTTGCATACTATATTCTGGTTTGAAATTTTTTTACTGCTTGATTTTGCTATGATTTTTTGATTACACAGAAATACCACATAATTTCTACACATATAGTCGGCCTTTGAAAGTCAAATTATAACTGTATAACATTTTTCTTTCTTTCCTTTCTTCCCTCCCCCCTTCCTTTCTTTTCTTTCTCTCCCCTTCCCTCTCCCCCCTTCATGTATGACTGTATTGCCTGCATGTAAGTGCACCTGTACCATGCAATGCCTGCAGAGGTCAGAAGAGGGTGTCAGGTTGCCCTGGAATTCGAGTTATACATAGTTGTTAGCCACCATGTGGGTGCTGGGAGTTGAACCTGGGTCCTCTGCAAGAACAGTCAGTGTCCTTAACTACTGACTCATCTCTCTAGCCCTCAACTTGTTTTTTTAAAGACAAAATTGGTCAAAAAGCTAAAAATAGATCTTCCACATGATCCAGCCAAACCATTCATTTAAAAAAGTTTTTTACTTATTTATTTTTATTTTATGTGTATGAGTGCTTTACCTACATATATGTAAGTGTACCCATGCATGCAATACCCATGGAGACCAGAAGATCCCCTGAAACTGAAGTTATGAACAGTTGTTAGCCGCCATGTGGATGCTGTGAACCAATCCCAGGTCCTCTCGAAGAGCAGTCAGTGCTCTTAACTGCTGATGCGTCTCTCTAGCTCCCCAAATCACTCTTGAGTATTTACCCAAAGACTCTATATTACTACCAAGATACCTGTTCATCCATGCTCATTGCTACTTTATTCACAATAATCAGGAAATGGAAACAACCTAGATGTCCATCAAATGATGACTGCATAATGAACAAAAATGTGGTACATTTACACAATGGAATATTATCCAGCTCTTAAGGAAAACAGAGTTGCAAAT